ATATATTGATATGATGTAGAAATATATGGTAAACTAAAATTAAATAAAATTATAAGATGAAACATTTGAAATTGGGTTCAGGCTCTGAATTTCTGTAAGTCTATTTTAGAAACTATATAATAAGGGAGTATATATTCTTATCTAGCGCAGGTATTCTAATATTTACTCTATAGATTGTATTAGTAAGAAAACCATCATAGGAACATGATATCTAAAGCTTATGATTTCAATCCGCATCAGTCTTTGAAGAGTGATCCTAACTACTATAATGAAGGTTTTGAATGATACAAGGAGCTCATAGATAAGTAGAACGAAAACAGGATGAAAAGCAAGATGAGATAAATTGAGGAGAAAAATAATTTCATGTTTTAAAGGCTTACCAAGATTTAATATGTAACCTTAATTTTCAATTACAAATAATTTAGGGGAATACAATCGATGAATAACAAATGAATATGACTAAAAGATCATGATCATTGTCGAAATGAAATCCTATTCAGTCAAGTCGGAATATCACTGCCCTCAATAGTGGCTATTCAAATGGGAGTAGTTTGAACTTTGGATAAAGGAAACGCTTAGTTGAAGATATCAACCTTTAGAATATAAAAATATTTAAAAGGCTCTAGGATATAAAGCCAACGATTCAGACAAATAAAATACTCAATCAATCAAGTCATGTATGACTTTATAACTTTTAAAAATTACATAGATAGCAGAAATAGGTAAAAAGATGAAGTTCTACAATGATTAAGGGGTTAAACGAATAGATCCTATGATTTTAAGAGACCTCCAAATGAGAGAAACAACTTATCAGGACCTCAATAACACCAATTATTAATAAACTCTGAGCTCCAAAATTTAAGATTCTTCAATGTTACCATAAGAAGAAGGAAATCAAATTAATTAGACCTCTGATCTGCAGTAAGCGATTTAAAGCCACACTATAAGATCAAAGTCCACTATCAAATCAAATAGAAATTTTAATAATATACTCTCAGTAAGCAGATTAAATAGCGGAACATCCTACAGACTAAACTCAAATAACATCTATGGAAACTAAAATGAGATAGGGTCAGCCTAAAATTACTACTCCCAAGTTAAGATGGCTTTAAACTAGAGCAACAGTAATATAAGCAATGATAACGGTAACAAAGGATTGTTGAATATGACCAAGAAAAGTCATAAGAGAATGGGAAATTACAGCACACTTGATTAAGGTTTAACGAATACGCTACTTAACAACCATGCTGAAATGATAATACCTGTAAAATTAAAAAAGATTCCATTTGAAGCTGCTTTTGTAAATACAGACTTATATGCAGAATAATGAATATCACTGAACTATAAACAATAATATATTATCTCAAGTGCTTAATCGATTAATAGTTGAATCATGGGGTTTTGGGGTTTTGGGG